AACTCAGCACAAAAGTCAGAATCATACAAGCCATCGTGTTCCCTATTAGTATGGATGGATGTGAGAGCTGGACAGCTAAGAAAGATGATGGGAAGAAAACCAATGCATTTGAGAGAATGTGGGGTTGGAGAAGAGGGCTGAGGATCCCATGGAGAGCCAAAAGGACAAAGAAAGGGGTCCTAGAGCAGATCAAGCCGGAAACCTCTCTGGAAGAAGCCAAGAGGACAAGACTTAGTCTGTCGTACTTTGGGCACATCATGAGAAGAGAGGACTCTTTGGAAAAGACAATAATGCTGGGGAAGGTGGAAAGAAGGAGGAAGAGAGGAAGGCCACATACTGCCAGATGGAGGGACTCTATGAAGGAGGTCATGGTATAAGTTTGCAGGATTTAAGCAGAGATGTGGAGGACAGGGGGTCTTGGAGATGTCTCACCCATAGGGTTGCCATGGGTCAAGACTGACTCAAGGGCAGGTAACAACAACAAACAATGTATTGGTTTAAACCTCAAGGAGACAGATTGGCAGACCAATGTCAGTGCCTGACAAACAGCCTCCTAGCCTTTTCCCTGCCATTGAATGATGCTTTCTTGGAGAAGCAGCATATCAAATCCCACACTTTCTTCGTGGGTACCCCTGTGCATCTTTAGCCTCCATGTTTGTTCCTTCCCTCTGCCCATCCCTACACAGAGACACACATATATACGCAAAGCTGGCCTTCCTCCCAGCCTCTCATTTGTCATTCCTAGGTGCCACTATTTCGCCAGGCAGAGAGACGAGTGACTTCTCCGGCTCTTCAGTTCCACACATGTCTGGTCAGATAAATTTCAGCTGGGATTTTGATCAAGTAGTTGCTGGGGGGGGGGGGGAATGGAGGAGCAAAGGAGGCATCGCTGCTGTGGCTGGGATGATGCGCTTGTCAGGCCTGACAGAGGCGGCACGGCTCTATCGCCAGCTTTGATCACCTGCGCTCAGCGTGCCAGGCGCTCCCGAAGCATCCAGGCAGCCTTTGCAGAGAGGACGACGGTGCCTTCCGACTCTCTCAAATACATGTTGCATTGCTGAGATAACTGGAGCCTGCTCAGGTGCAGGGCCCACATGGAAAGGCACTGAAGAGAAGGGAGGAAAAGGTGCAAAACCTGCCCACCATCCAAGGATCTTAGCCAATATGCATCTAGGGAGGGAGACATGACTGCAGAAAAGAGAAACTGGAAATTGGTTGGGAGGCCAAAAGCAGGGAAATGTAGTTTGATGTGGCACCAGAGCTCCCTGATAGAAAAGGCTAAATGTCTCACTAAACTACAGTTTGCAGAATTCCCTAGCATGGAGCTATGGCAGTTAAAGTGCTGTCAAACTGGATTATCTCTGTGGTGTAGAATAGATGCAGCCTTAGTTGAGTTGCATTCATTGCAGATGGAGCAAACTTGTTTTCTGATGCCCCAGAGACTTGGAGATGGAGCAATGAATTCAAGCTGCAGGGAAAGAGATCCCACCTAAACTTTAGGAAAAACCTCCTGAGGGTAGACAGTGGAAGACGCTGCCTCTGAAAGTTGTGGAGTCTCCTTCTTTGGGGGTCTTTAAGCAGAAGCTGGACAGCCATCTGTTGAGGGTTCTTTGATTGTGTATTCCTGCATGGCAGAAGGGGGTTGGACTGGATGGCCGCTGGGGGTCCCTTCCAGCTCTATGATTCTAGAAATCCCTTACTTGACACTTAGTAGGGCCTGGAGCCAAGTGTGTGATGTGAGCCCAATCATTCACCCTTTCTCCATAGTGGCAAGGAGGGCAGCCTTCTGGGCTAATTGTATTCATTTTCTTGTTTCTTTGGGGTTTTTCCTTTCCTTTCCAGTGCCACCTGACCTTTGTCTTGTGGGATCCCCAGGATGAGGCCTTTTGTGTGCCACACATGTTGCAAGAGCAGCTTAAAATGTTTCCTTTCAGCTGGAGCCAGGAAGCAAGCTGTGAGGCTTTTACCAGCGTTGATTGTATTGATGGCATTGACTTTTCCACGGTGGCACTTGGGGAGGCATGTGGCATGGCGGCGGTGGCGTGCCTGTCCGCGTGCCTTCGGAAACAGCTTTTGCGTTGTCGAGTGTTCAGCTTCCCCCTTCTCTCTCTCACACACACATACTCCTTGGCCTCAGGA